TCACACACAGACACATACACATACGCACTTACACGCACACAAACTCAGAGACAGACATATACACGCACGCACTTACGCGCACACAAACTCACGCACAGACACATACACGCACGCACATGCGCGGGGGACACACACACATACGCGCGCGAGTGCACACTTGTCCCCCAGCCTTAGCACCTCACCTTCTTGCCGTTGCAGCCGCTCACCAGTCTCCTTGGCGTTTTCGCCGGGCTGGTCTTCACCGTCTGACTCGCACACCAACTGCAGCAGGTCAGTGTTGCCGGTGGGTGCCGGGGCACGGCCTGTTTTCCTGCGGTTTCTCCTCCGGGCCCTGCTGGGGGTGGCGGTGCCTAGCGGGGAAGGCCCGCCTCGGTCCGTCTCAGCCGGCTGCTCGGGGGGGCCGTCGGCTGCCTCGCAGCCGACCTCTGGCGGTGTGGTGAGTCCCAGGGTGGCCGGCACCTCGGCCCCTTGCCGGGTCTGCGAGGCGTGGTTGCCCGTTGGCCCGCCCGCCTCGTTTGCCGTTTCGGCACCTCCCGCCAGCACCGTCTCGCTGGGGGTCCCCTCCGTCGCCGTCTCGCCGCTCGGCGCTTCCGGTGAGCCGTCCTTGGCCACGCCGCCCAAGCCCAGGCAGCTCCGTTTCCCGTTCGGGGGCAAGCTGCTGAGTACCCTCCGCCTGGCGCGGCCGGTGCCGCGAGCTGGGGCCCGGGCTGCCCCATGCTCTCCGCCGCTCCCCTCCGCGCCCTTGCGGGGGGCCAGCATCTCCCAGGAGTAGCTGTGGCCCCCGGCGCAGGTCCACACCACGGTGGCCGAGTCGTCCACGCGTCCCGAGGCGACGGACTTGAGGTTCGGGATAAAGCCGCACTCCCGGCTGTGCTGGTGGGACCAGACCATCAGCTGTCGCAGGGCATCGCAGGATGTGTGCAGGTGGTCCAGGTTTTCGGCCGAGCTGACTTTCCCTGGGTTCGGGGTGGGGGGGGAAAGAGAGAGGGTACAGCATGATCAGCAAAGCTCCCTCAGACAGAAAGTAAAGCTCCCTCTACACTGTCCCCCATCAAACATTCCCAGGGACAGGGACAGCACGGGGTTAGATACAGAGTAAAGCTCCCTCTACACTGTCCCCACCATCAAACACTCCCAGGGACAGAGACAACACGGCGTTAGATACAGAGTAAAGCTCCCTCTACACTGTCCCCCATCAAACACTCCCAGGACAGGGACAGCATGGGGTTAGATACAGAGTAAAGCTCCCTCTACACTGTCCCCCCATCAAACTCTCCCAGGACAAGGACAGCACAGGGTTAGATACCACACTGTTCCCCATCAAACACTCCCAGGACAGGGACAGCACGGGGTTAGATACAGAGTAAAGCCCCCTCAACACTGTCCCCCATCAAACTCTCCCACGACAAGGACAACACGGGGTTAGATACAGAGTAAAGCTCCCTCTACACTGTCCCCCGATCAAACACTCCCCCAGAGGGACATGGCATTAAATACAGAGTAATACCCATCTACACTTTTAAACTGAAAGTAAAGCCTCTTTAGGAGAGTCATAGTGTTACACAGCACAGAAAGAGTTCCCTCAGCCCAACTCATCCAAGGCATCCAGATATTCTGAATTGAACTCAAGAGATGGGAAAAACTGCCAATTCTGGAGTTAGAGATAACACAGTGTGGAACTGGAGGAGTACAGCAGGCCAGGCAGCATCAGAGGAGGAGAGCCAACGTTTCAGGTCGGGACCCTTCTTCGGAAATGGGCAGGGGGAAGGGAGCTCTGAAATACATAGAGAAAGGAGAGGTGAGGCTGGGGGAAGGTAGGTGGGATGGTGATAGGTGGATGCAGGTAGGGACACTGGGGATTGGTCAGTAGAAGGGGGCGGATAGGTAGGGGAGAAGATGGACAGGTTGTGTCAGGTCAAGGAGGTGGGGTGAAAGGGAAGGTTGGATGTGGGATGCGGCCAGGGGTGGGGATATTTTAAAACTGGTGAATTCCATGGTTAGGCCATCCTGGGCCTCCTCCAGTGCCACAACAATGCCACCCAGAAACTGGAGGAGCAGCACCTCATATTCCACCTTGGGAGCCTATAGCTCGATGGCCTAAACATGGAATTCACTAGCTTTAAAACATCCCTACTCCCCAGTCTCAACCCATATCCAACCCCCCCTCACATCCCCACCTTCTTGACCTGACACAACCGGTCCATTTCTCCCCCACCTATCCGCTTCTCCCACCTCACTGACCAATCCCCACCACTGCCTACCTGCACTCACCTATCAACATCCCACCTACCTTTCCCAGCCCCATCCCTCCACTCTCTATTTATTTCCCAGCTCCCTTCCCCTTCCCCATTTCTGAAGAAGGGTCCTGACCCAAAACGTCAACTTTCCTGCTCCTCTGATGCTGCCTGGCCAGCTGTGCTCCTCCTAAATTGAACTGGTTCCATTTGCCAGCATTTGGCCCCTATCCCTCTAAACCTTCCTGTTCACGTACCCATCCAGATACCTTTTAAATGGTGTAACTGTACCAGCCTCTACCGCTTCCCCTGGCAGCTCATTCCATACACGCACCACCCTCTGTGTGAAAAAAATTGCCCTTCTGGACCCTTTTGTATCTCTCCCCTCTCACCTTAAACCTAAGCTCTCTCGCTTTATACTCCCCTACCCTGGGGAAAAGACCTCGCCTATTCACCTGATCTGTGCTCCTCATGATTGTATAAATCTCTATAGGGTCATCCCTCAGCCTCCTACACTCCAGGGAAAATTGTCCCAGCTGTTCCAGCCTGTCCTTATGATTCAAACCTTGCACACACACAGAGTTTAATCCTGAATGGGAACGCAGCCCAATGCACTTCCAGGGAAGCAGAGCTGAGGTCCAGATGATATTAGGACGACAGCCTCAGGCTTCCCGATCAGAGTGACCTGGGCATCAGTGCGAGACAGTGAAATTGGTCATCACCAGGATGATAGGGAAAGGTCCGTGGCGTGAGGCCAAGTGATCAGGATTTGGGGCGGGGCTGTTACGACATGGAAAGCAGTTGGTCACGACATGGGGTTATCTCGCTTCGGATCCACTATTTAAGAAATGGCGGCACAGTGGTTAGCGCTGCTGCCTCACAGCACCAGGGGCCCGGGTTCAATTCCACCCTCGGGCGACTGTCTGTGCGGAGTTGCACATTCTCCCCGTGTCTGCGTGGGTTTCCTCTCACAGTCCAAAGATGTGCAGGTTAGGGTGGGTTGGCCGTGCTAAATTGTCCCATAGTGCCCAGGGACGTGCAGGTTAGGGTGGATTGGCCATGCTAAGTTGTCCCATAGTGCCCAGGGACGTGCAGGTTAGGGTGGATTGGCCGTGCTAAATTGTCCCGTAGTGCCCAGGGATGTGCAGGTTAGGGTGGGTTGGCCGTGCTAAATTGTCCCATAGTGCCCAGGGATGTGCAGGTCAGGGTGGGTTATAAGGGAAAGGATCTGGGTGGGATTCTGTGAGGGTCGGTGTGGGCTTGTTGGGCCGAAGGGCCTGTTTCCACATCGTAGGGGATTCATTTTTACAGATCCTGGATCCCGAGTTCCTGATAGCTTCAATCCAGCGGGGATGCCAGCACAAGCCTCTTCCTCAGGGCTTGTTTTAATGCAGTCATTAGTCCAACTGGCATTTAGAAATCATGTGTTTTCAAACAGGTCTCCTTGTCACCTTCAATGTACAATTACAGTGAACAAGGCTGGGGATTGCGCTAAGTCCTATTTTAACAGGAAACTAGGGTGGGGGAGTTCAAACTGCACCCCTATCCGTTCAGACAGATAGAGTTGGGCAATTTGAATTAAAGTACTGGCAGGAGCCTGTCATTTACAGATCTGTGCTGCAAGTTTGGAGAGGAGTGTTTGCGTCCCTAAGTTCAAGTTCCACCTGCTCCAGCACCATGCGTTAAAATCCCCGAACATTTGAAACTGCACGTCAACGACAAGTAAACTTCTCTCGACACTGTCCTGATTAAACGCTCCATGCACGGGGTTAGATACAGAGTAAAGCTCCCTGTACACTGTCCCCCCATCAAACACTCCTAGGACAGGGACAGCACGGGGTTAGATACAGAGTAAAGCTCCCTCTACACTGTCCCCCCATCTAACACTCCCCAGGATAGGGACAGCACTGGGTTAGATACAGAGTAAAACTCTCTCTACACTGCCTCCCATCAAACACTCCCCAGGACTGTGACAGCACAGGGTTAGATACAGAGTAAAGCTCCCTCTACACTGTCCCCCATCAAACACTCCCAGGGACAGCACGGGGTTAGATACAGAGTAATGCTCCCTCTACGCTGTCCCCCCATCAAACACTCCCCAGGACAGGGACAGCACGGGGTTAGATACAGAGTAAACCTCTCTCTTACATTAATCTTCCACTGGTGACTAAACTATAAACAAACACTTGCACAGCTATAAAGTCAAAGGATGCCCCAATACATAGAAGGTGCTTGATAAATGTTCAGACTTGTCTCTTTACCTGAACAGCTGCCACGACTCCTTGCTGTAAAGCTGCAGAGAAAGAAAAAAAATACAGGTTGCAGATTGTTGAAATGCACATCCCATACTGCAGAGTGCGTACATCTTGTCCCATCTTAAGACATTTCTCCCACTACCTGTACCCTGCCCATCTCCCCTCCTTAGTCTGTCTCTCCCTCCTACTCTCTCTGTGACTCCCTCCTCCCTCCAGTCTCTCGCCGCCACACCTCCCTCCCATCTTTCTCTGTCCCTGTCTCCCATCTCCGTCAGTTCCCCCACCTTCCTCCTATCTCTCTCTGTCCCTCTGTGCCCCCACCTCCCTCTCAGTCTCTCTCTCTATGTACCGCAACTCTCTCCCACCTCTCTCGCTGTTCCCCCATCACACTCCCATCTCTCTCTCACGCTGTGTTTCCCC